CTATCTCTATCTCTATCTCTATCTCTATCTCTATCTCTATCTCTATCTCTATCTCTATCTCTATCTCTATCTCTATCTCTATCTCTATCTCTATCTCTCTATCTATATATACACACACACACACACACACACACACACTACCCAGACGAAACTCATATGAATTGTTTAATACACAAACCTGAATACAGAGTATACCTGTCTGCAATACTGAGTTAAAGTCACATAGTAATACACTAACAATACTTGATCAAATCAGTGCATTACCATAGTGTGGTGGTTAACACATTTGCCTAACACACGAAGGATCACCAGTTTAAGAGTAGCAGGAGGCACAAATCCTTGAGGATTGCGTCAATAATTTAAAGTCTGTGGATCCATCCACTGTGGTGACCCCTTGTGAATAAGAGAGCAGGTAAGTGTTCACTTAGTGTTCAGGATGTTACAGAACAGTTCCTACTGGCTAGAGCTGAGAAAACGTGGTCTAGTACACTTGAATCGAGGCGAGGCATTCACTCTGCTGCACACAGACGAATACCAAAGGTCAGTCATTTTCCACGAGTGTTTCCTTGGCAGCCTTTGACAAAACTATAAACTAAAGTAATGCCTGCAAATGCTGAAATAGCTCAAGAACAAACCCTCTTTGGAGTGCTCCCATACATAAAAGCTCAACAGCAAGGTTATCCCAGAATGAGTCATATTACCATAGTGGAAAGCAGCTGTGATCTTTCTCATGATAGAAAAGCCTGTTGAACTTGGATAAAGCACATGTACAAGGCCTCGGGCCTCTCTCCTTCCCAAAGCAGCTAAAGATGAAAGTGTTGACAGCAGTATTTCCATATAGAGCCAATATCGTGTCCGTTCCTTCCATAAATGCACATCAAAGATGTTTTGAACTACAGTATCCCCTCTGTGGGCTGGTGCCATATTTTTTTATCATGATCTAATAGTGAGCAATAAACTGCAGCAACATCAACACAACATCTGGCACTTTATGGTAGCACAACACTGCCAAATAAGTATGTATGACTTTGTCAGACAACAGTCACATACCAGCATCTAATGACGAGGACATAAATTGCACTGGTTGAAACAATGACGCATAATCCAGATTACTTGTGTGCAGTCTCACACATGAACAGAAAAAAAGATTCTTAAAAACTTCAGAATCGCAGCACACCACAGTGTAATTACTGTATCGGTGGCATAAGTTGGCAGCGTCTAAAAACTGACCACCTGCATGCAAACCATGGCCCGCAGTAGCCAAGACATCGACCTCAAATCTGCAATTAGCTCACTGTGGTTGTTCTGAGAGGGTCATGTAAAGGAACACTAGGCAGCAACATGAGCTCCTCACTGTGGGAAGAGAAAGCATTAGTGCTATCCGAGCCTGCGATTTGCTCAGGATGGACAGGCATCACAAATAAAACCTACAAGTCACTTCTGGACTGTGTGTAGCAGTGCAGTTATCAGTAATAGGAATGGAGCAGAACACAAACAGAACAAGGGAAAATTACTGAGAGGCTAGTGGACAGCTTATGCAAAACTTAACTGAGAAGCTTACAGAGGATTTCTTTAATTCTGCCAACAATAAGATGATTGTTTTAAGATAATGGTAAAAGAGCCAATGAGGAAACCATGCCAGCTGTATCTTGTGTGGCTGTTTAATGACTGCAATACTAAAAACCAAGGTTTATAAAACTTATACCTTCTTGGTAACTTGTGTTTCTTAAAAGAGTAAAATCTAACAAACTCTGAAAAGGAAGGGTTCTATACTGTATTTGTTTAGCTGTGTGTTTTTTCTGTGTTCTGACGGGTTGTCAGTCTCTACAGAGATTCAGGTCGGAGTTTCACGTCTTTACAACAGGAGGAGGCAAGAGCCGAAGAGACGGATCTACGGCTTCCACGTCTTCTCTGAATCTCAATTTCCAAATCTCTATCTCTTGTCTTATTTTTTCAGTCTCTCAGTTGTTTTATCCCCATCTTCTTGTCTTCTCTAATCTCTTCCCGCTGTGTCTCTACCCAGCTCTTTATCTACATCCCAGACAAAACATTAAAGCGCTGCATGCACGGGGAATATATTTAGATGTGAATATGCTCTGTGATACTAACACATAGCGGGATTGAGACAAATTTGGGGGGAGAAAAAAAAGTTTTAAACACAGAATTCTGAAAATATTTTTATACACTGCAGTTTTTTAACAAAAGAAATGTACTAATGCAAATATGTACAAGGATATATTCCATCATTTACTGTTTTGCCAAAAAGTTTATGTTCCAGACAAGTTTTGACCTAAATTGCATGATGAGACATCAGGCGGGCCTTGTTAAACAAAACAAGTCGACTTTTGTACTTGCTTAAAAACCGTGTCCAATAATGTCAATGTCAATACATTTTTGAACTATATTAACCTTATGCACACAATATTAATCTTTTCCATCCAATGGGATTCATGACAAATGTTTTATAAACAAAGATCTCCAGATTAGGTTTGTTTTTACACGTTACATTTGGGACGAGTGGAATTCTTCTAATAATGAATGAGTCTGTTACCTGTGCAGGTTATGGCAATAACATCGCAACAGCCTAAACACTAACACCGAGGCTTCAAAATGCAGAGTCCAGAAACCGGTGACTGATGTCACGGTGGCTACATCCATCTTTAATATACAGTCTGTGGTTTCACCTGCTGTCACTCTGCTATCTTGCAGTTACATTAGTGTGAAAAAAAGTCACCTTTATTCATATTAAACATCTGTGAAACATGTAATTATTATTTACTGGCCTGCATTATACAATATTTGGTTGTACATGCATAAACACTAAACAGTACAGACACTAAAGCCTGCCCCCCCCCCCCGTTTGTGTGTGTGTCTTAAATATTTCAAGCGGAAACACTTACCTCATCCCATTCTGAGGTGAAGGAGGGAGATTTCTCAAGTCTCTTCTTAGCCGTGCTACAGTTAGAAACAGACTCGCTACGGTTTCCCAATCCTCCTTCCTCTTCATTAGGAGGCGACACGAGCAAGTCTGAGTCAGACTTGGACAGGCTGCGTGCCAGCTTCAGGTCCCCAGGAGGGCGCATCTTGACAGCAGATACAGCACCAGCCACCAAGTCCCTGGGTTCCTTGTTCACAGTAGCATAAATTGCTTTTGGATCACAGTCTGTCAGGATGGCGGCCATGCTAGGACGGCTAGGTGGCGGTGCAGCTGCAGTAGCTTTGGCCCTCTTTTTTGTTTCTGGCTGGTCTTGATTGGGTGGCAGAACACCTGGAAGCCGAAAGGACTCCTCACGGCTCTCAAAGACAGGAGAAGATCCGTGTAGGAGGCCTGTGAACTGCTCTGGTACACCTGCTTCCTGGTCCTGGCTGAGCTGTGAGTTATCTAGACAAAGAGAAAGGGAATAGACAAAGTCAGTGAAGAAGGAAAGCAGTCTGTGAGGGCTGGAAAGTAGACTTCCAACTGAGGGGCTGATTCTTACAGTGTGGCTAATAAGAAACCACCCACACAAGCCCTGAAACAGATCTGTAATTGTTTCCTACCAGGAGTGACGAAGAGAAAAAGGGGGAGAGAGAAGAGATGGAGCAAAGAAAAGGCGTATGTTGGCTGGAGAAATGACTCCTGAATTCCAAACTCAGCTTGTAGCCGTCTGACAGCTATCTGCTGGTGCCTGAATGCCTGTATTTTGCAACAGGGAGTTGAAGCAAGTCATCTCTGTGAACAGCCCTCATCACAGAGGCCTACTTGTCTGTTAGGCCTGTTTTCCTAAAATGACATAACACTGAGAATGTCCCAGAGTTTCCGACTAAACTAAACTTTCAAACAAACCTACACATAAATTCCAAGAGTGTATGCCAGAGAAAAATGAATACAACACAACAAATATCACAAAGAGGAGTGAAACTTACTGTTTGCCGTCTTCTCCAACAAAAAAAGCGACTCCTTAATGAGACTCAATGGCAAGTGCAACAAAGAACAATGAGATTTTTTCCTCCTCCCCTCTCCCAAGGACTTACTGCCACCTAAGCCTATTTTCCGCAATCAAATCAGCCACAGCTTGATAGTACCTGTTGTAATCGATATGTTGCTTTGAGGGAAAAAGAAAAAAAACGAACTCGTGCCGAGCCTGTCTTCTTCAACTGCAGTGACGTGTTTTGTTGTTTAAAGTGTGCGCCCTCTGTGTTTTCTAGCTTCTAATTCTAGCGCCTAACGGAGGGCGAGGAATGGAAATTTGAATCACCCTGTCCTCCAGCAGCCAGACTTCTGATAATTAGTCCTGTGTCACATGGTGCGGGAGTGTGTGGGCTTGTGTGGTCTCTGCCAGGGTGACAAGGGTCAGGAGTGTTTGGTGACAGGGAATCTGGGGCAGAGACACCACAAGAAAAGTAGTGACCTGTTGCAGCACTTTGTTTGTCCTTCACAAAACAGCTTCCTGCCCAAAATGTGCCCAGTGCAGTCATTTTATCAGTATAGGAAAAGAATTATCTACACCAAACTACCTCAGTACTATTTCAGGGATCATTTCCAGGGAGGGAGTGTGCCAAACAACACCCTAAACTCCCTTTTCACAAGCTTAGGAAAAGTGTGTGTGCGTTGGGGGGTGTTTTGTGTGTGGGTGAGTGAGTGTACTGCACACATATGTCAAGATCACAGCCAAACACCCACCCTCTCCTTGGCAGCTAGGGAGCGTGAACGCCCTATGATCACATCCATGTGCTTCCAACAAACTCACGTGGTGTTAACCCTTGCAAAGACCACCGGAGCCCCTTTCTATACGGTTCTAGGATGGAAAACCCGCACACATGCAATCTGATGTTTTTGCAACTCTTTTATATTGGGTGAAGTTACCACAGACGTGGGGTGTTTATTTCATTTGGCAGCGACAGCTCCATATCGCCCTGATGATGTCATGTTTGGATTGCAGATGCTGTGGAATCAGTGCTGGTTGTTACTTCACTAGCTACATAATCCAAAGTCAATCCATATGTCCCTGGAAAACCTGCACTGTTTCTGTTTGAGTTTCAAAGACATTTTAAACTCTTGGTAGTGCACTGCAGCACAACTACAAGGTACTAAGGCTATGACATGGGGACATTTGTATTAAAGTACATCATTTGATCATATTTAACTCACTGCAGCGCATTGAGCCTCCCCCATAAAAGATCATTTTATACACTGCAAAGTGCCCAGCCCTGGACAAACTATACAACATCAACACCTATTACATGGTTCAAGGCTGTTTCTTACATCCCTTCTTTAGTTCTTTTAAATTATTGTTTATCAGTCAATATAATCGGCCCCACTGATCGGTTGGGCTCCACATAGCATCATATATAATGATGCAGAAGAAGTGTGACAAACACACAGGTGCTTAACTTCCTTACATCTGTCCTTTGATGTGCTACAGTTCATAAAAGCAGCACAAACAACTTTAGCTAAGTATCAAAACTACAGAAAACACACTGCACTCTGGTTGTGAACTAATGGAACAGCATGTATACTTTGAGGTTTATTTCCTCACCAACGTTGCTCATAGCAGCGTAATATTTAAGTGAAATGGGTGTTTTTAAAATGTATTATTATTATTCTTTTATTATTATCTGTGGAGAAACTTCTGATCTTACAGGTACTGCTTTGGAAACGCTATAATACATCAGCAGCAGTAGGTCTGTTGCGAAAATGTGGATTGCTGCTGAGAGCAGGAGGAATGTGTTTGAAGACAGACATTAAACACCATATATCGTTGACTCGGCATCTGTCCTCCACCTGCCACAGAGATTGCTGAGGTTTGGTCACTGACCGTCCATAGACCACATAAGTTACAAGAAAGATCACATCAACATGAACAAAGCTAAATATTTAGCCTCCGCCGACTGCCTGGGTTTATGTAATACATAAAATAGGAACCAGGTTTGAGTGGCTGATCTGCAAAACCTCAAAAAGTAAAGAGGAAACAGGTCAGAGACAGGGTTATTTAATTAGAAACCAAATTTGTGGTTTTGACAAATGAAATGAAGAGAATAACTTTAGAGTTCCCAAATATAAAAAGGAACCAAAAAAATGAAATGAACAACATTTTGCCGTGTGTTTTAAACTTTAAAGTTGCTAATCCTTGAGCTTTGTTAAAAAAGAATTACTGCTCTTGTAGAAAATTAATAACATTTTAATGTTTAAACTCATTACGGTAACCATCTGAGGGGCCAGCTGTTCAGTGGTTTTTTACATCAACTCAAAGAGGAACAGTGACACGACAGAAACACTGAATATGCGAATAAAGATGCTAAAAATTTATTTCCAATTCATATAAGCAATTATAACAAATAAGATCGCACTCTTATTTTCCGTTTTTCAATTTGTGTTTATTTTAAGTCAGAGAAGTCTCAAACAGACAGACTAATGTTACTGCAGCTGGCCAATAATTTTTTACGTGGTGAAATTACATAAAAACAACTCGAGAAGCCTAACTGGCTTCTTTTTGCAGGTTGTTTCCAAACATGTGCCAAAACTCAATTTATTCAATGAAGACATCTGTATATGTATCAGCAAAAACCCAGCAGCTATACTCCTCATCTCTGCTCCGTGCCTGACTGGATGAAGTGGCATATCCAGCTTTAGGCGGGGATGTGGATCTAAGATAGGAATGTCACGATCTGATCAAGAATTCAGTTTCCCATTGGCAATGAAACGAGTCTAACCCACTTGCCAACGAATGTCAGTCAACCTGCCCCTGACGAGCCAAATCCCCTCTGCTGCCCGAGAATACCAATCGTGCACTTCCCCGGCTGCGCTAATCCAAGCCAGCCTATCTCAAATGCATCAAACTGAGATGCATTTCTCCTATTTCATTGACATGCTTGGCTTGTAATTTTCCAAGTCTGATGTGTCAGGTCCATCTTTCCTTACCCTCACGCAGCTTTACCAGCAGCAGTTGTTGTACCTTATTAGGCATCTAAAACCTGAGGACAGTGACCGTACTCACCTCCCGGCACCCCTGGGCCCACTCTTCCTGGAGGGTGCAAGGTGTCTTTCGTCTTACTTGGGGCTCTAAGGTCGTTTGGGGCAGAAGGTTTATGCTAAAGTAGGACAGCAAGAAAGAACAGATGATAAAAACATTTTCTGTGATTCTAAACAATCATAGTAGCTCGTCTGAAGCCCAGTTAGCAAATAACTAAAAGCCAGACTAATTATCCTGCTTATTATCCTGAAGACATACCCTCCCTGATCAACTGCATTACTACTAAAAGATTATTATCATCATCATCAGGCAGGTCAGAAGCACAGCCAACTTAATAGGAGCTTGCAAATTAAGACACAAGTATATACTGTGTGCAGCAGAGGGGCTGACAGCAATAATAAAATGCTGCTAACTGGATGATAGATATCAAAGGGCAATAAAAAAAAGACAATGGCAATAAATAAAGTAGGTAGATTTACAACATTAAGACGCACTATTATCAGGGGCCGTTTAAGATGACTTCTGCCTTCTGCTAACATATGACTCAGTTTCTGACTCTGAAGAGACCGTCACCTTAATTTTAAAACCTGCTATCATCACTTGGGTTGGGTCAAAAATTATCCACTCATTCACTCTTCAAACCAGTATATAGGAAGCTTGTTGTCAAACCAAAAAAAAACCCCTCCAGATACTACTTAATATACAAATTAGACAGCTGTAATCATGCATTTTTATACAGTATAATTTCTCAAACATTCTGTCAGGACCACTTTAGTCAAAGTAGGATTGTTATTTCCTCTGCAGTTGCATATATCTGGCAAGTTTTGTGCCTTTCCACGTGTATACAATGTTAAGCCCTCGTACAGATCAGACAGGCATCAATGGATGGACCAGACTGGTCATATTTTACTACTACATTCATGTAGATTTTAATTCCATGTATGCTTTGTCCACCTTACATCTACCACCAACTGAAAACCACCAGTTAACTCTGTCTGTGCATGTGGGACTCAGACTGTCATACAGGGCTGCTGGCTCAGCTTGAATCTTCGGCCTACCAGAAGTAACGTCAAGGCTGATATGATGCTTTGCAGCAGTTCTGTCATTTTTACTTCCACAAGCGCATGATGGTCTACAATGCTTGGGCTAGTGACCGAATTACTTTTCACAACTCATAGTAGGATACTTCCACATACAGTGCAGCAACTAGGATACAATCCTATAATTTTAGTATTCAAATAGCAACCTATTTTTGAAGCAGTTATAGTACATGAACAAAAGAGTTTACCTGAGGTAGGACACTGTTGGAAGACTGTATAGTGGTATTGTCATCTAAGGAGACAAGAAAACAAACGTTGGTTAACTAAGAGTTACAGAAAATCCATTGTTGGTTCTGACTTTCAGGAGAGACATTACGCTGAGAATGTCAAAGTGATGGATAATAACATCATGTATTATGCATGCCGCCATTATCGGTCTAAGCGTCAGACAGACTTCAGATTAATCTTCCTGCCTTTTAAACAGCACCGAGTACGGAGACATGATAGAGCAGTTTTAAAACGGATGAAAAACTAATCATTTAACATTTCTGTCCGATTCAACAACCCCCTCCCCCCCAAAAAACCACAGTAAGTTATTCTTTTTTTATAACACCATCATTTCCATCTGGAAGGCCCGATGACATCCATGATTAGACTCCAACACTTCAGCCCAGTTTTCTTTGGATGATAGTCAAGCTGACTAAGCTGAAAGGTCCCAAGGGTACGGTTTTAAAACATCTACATCAACAACTAGGGATCAAAATTGCCTCCTAATTTAATCCCATTTAATCCAATTACATGCAGTGCCATTCAGCAGCCACAACTGAGGAGGGTCTGCTGAGGCTCTGTTGCGATCAAACAGCAGCAAAAGAGCCTGAGAGACAGAGCTCTCCCGTATTCATGTCAGGAACGAAGGACCTCCTGATTTATATGCAGATATAACAAGGTAGAGTGACTGCATTTTACCAAGAAATATCTTCGTAAAGCACAAACAAAAATAATTGCTGGAAAAATATGCCTTTTCGAAATGTTACTTGTTGTTTTTGTACTGAATAAACACAATTACCTTTATATGAGTGGGGCTCATGGCTAGGTGGTGGTGGGATTTTTGTCTCTGCAGTCAGCAACAACTCATATGTGTGATCCTCCTCCTCCGCTGGCTCCCTTTTCTCATCAGCACTGCTGCTAGTATACAGGGCCTGCAGAAAAGTCAAAGGATTAAAGGTGAAAAAGAAGTAGCAGGTTAGAAATTACGAGGCAGTTGTGTGAAAATATTTGTTTACAATAGGAAACCCTTCATGAAACATCCACAATATGCCTACAATGATCAGCAACGGTTTAGATCAGAACGGTTCTCGGACGCTGCCTTTTCCAATTCCCCTTTCCTATTACATGTGCTCCACTCTGCACTCAGCTGAGTATTTCTTAAGAGGCCATTTGAACTGAGCAGCAGCGCTGAAGGAAATGAAAAGGGTGGTAGCTAAAATGAAACTGGCATCCTCAGTGACAGATTGTTATTTTCCCAGCAGCCCCTGTGTCACAGAGTTAGAAAACATGTCTAACTTTTCAGTGGCATTAACTTTTAAAAGTAGTCTGTCACGACCATTTGCAAACAGCTACAAGTGTGCGTGTGAGCATCTGTGGCGTTAAATGGCAACTGTTTCTGCTGGCTGTATGACCTCTGACCTATTCGCATAGGATTTGTATTACCAGGGGGACTTGATGTGATTTACAAGTTACGCCCCTCGTGCCTGTGTAATGTTACTATTAATATCCTGCCAGATAATTGTGAGCCTAATGAAAGACAGCAAAAAGCTTCTTACCAATTCGTACAATGCAAGCTAACAATTTCATCTCTTGAATGGTTATCCATGTAGTGTATTTATCCAAATTCTCCTTAAACTATCCAAATTTGCATACGTACATTTTTTTCTTTAAAAAGCAGATTCAGTGGTTGATTTGCATGGGATTAAGTTCATAGATGATGTCCACAGCTATTACTAGACCACTATCACCATGTGAATACAGCTTTACTTCCTTAGCTCTGAGCTCACCTCCTCTTCATTACCAGGGCCAGGATGTGACGAGAGGACCAGGCGATCTTTCTGTACGTCAGCAATACAAGATGTAATAAAAAAAAAAAAAAGTAATCAATTCACTATCAGTATTAAAAGATGGCATGCAAACCTACACTGAAACACAAGAAAAGTAACACTGGTGGATTTTTGTAGCACTGTCATAAGAAGAGAGGATCACCATCTCCCTCTAGTGGGAGTTCAGCATTTCAGTGCCTCACTCTATGTCTTGGTATGTATAAGTTTTATAAGTTTATGTATTTGTTTTTTCAACTAAAGACATCTTTAAAAAAAAAAATTTTTTTTTTTTAAAAAATCAGAAACTGCTGACCTTTCCAGCTTCACTATCAGGCCTTCCCGAGTCTCTGTCAGAGGACTTCCCACTGGTGAGGCTGTCTAAAGAGTGGCAAGAAGTGGCCTCAAACAGAGCTTCATAAGGGCTCTCCTCCTCGGGCCCCAGGGCCAGCCCCGAGATTAGCTCACAGACTTTCTCCAGGTCACCTGCAAGTCAAAAATGGATAAAGATTGAAGCAAAAACAAGTTCTCAAGTCAAAGTAATAGGTAAACTATCGTCATACTTTCCTGCACAGTGGTTTTTTTCTTCTGCTTAAAGATTTGCTGCTGCGAAGGCAAAAATCACCCACTATCTCTCACAGGAGACTCCCGATAAATCTTACCCTTTTTCCGTGGGCTTGGGCTCTCCTGAGGTGGAGGCACTGGTGGAGGGGGAAGGTCAATATCAGGGGGTTTTCCAGTCATATGACCTGGAACAAACGAGAGATTGTATCGCAGCTGTTTCATGTGATATAAATAAGAGAATAATTCCCACTGGAGCTCTGTATGTGCTCATTTGGTCTTTACCAAGGATCAGGGCAGCTATCTGTTTGCTTTTCTTAGAGGGCATGTCCTTGACAATGTCCAGCGCTGTCAGGCCCTTCTGGTCGACGATGTTCACATCGATCCCTGGGAAACGACAACAGTAACAGTCATGTGCTAAGTACGTGTCTTTCCTAAATACATGGAAGTTATGTAGATTTAGCGCTCTACGGTCTGACCTGCACAGAGAAGTTTCTGCACCACATCGGTCTTCCCAAACAGAGCGGCTTCATGGAGTGCACTGCCTTTCTCTGTCTGAGCAGGAAAGAAAATGAAAAAGCATACGAATTTATGAGAAACATAATAGACAGAAGTTCTTAATATTTCCTATGTTATTACCAAAAAATTAGACTACAGAATATAGCAGTTCTGTTCCAGCACCAACACTTTAGTAAAATACGTAGCGCATGTTGTGTGGATTCATGCCCACTACTTGGTCCACTTCTTGAACTGACAATTATGTGGTTGAGAAATCAAAGCAGATCATTTTCCAGCTCACAGGGCCATGCTAATTAAAGCCCTGCCGGATGCAGAGCCTAAAGGAAGCTGAATAGTCTCCACATCTTTTATTCAGAGGAAAAAAGGACAGAGAAAGGGTCTCCAGACAGACGGGTGGCACAGTTTGATACAGAGCCAGAGCTCTAGGGCCCACCAGGGGGAGCAAGGCCGGCTCTGCTTTGCGCTGGCCTTACTACAACAGTTCCTTTGCAAACTGAGAGCTTAAGAATTTTACATTTAATCTCATAGCTTTAGTAGGAAGTAGCAAGAGGAAGTGCTGCAAGGACAGATTAAGTTGCCTAACATGATTTGGGCCATGAAAGTATGTTAAGAAACACTTGCAAACAGAAGTTTTTCAGTAAAAAGAAATATATAAGTAACTATACATCAGAAAAAACAAAAACAACACATGCACATACCTCATAGTTAATGTCCATTCCAGCATCTAGTAACACCTCCACTACGGGTAGGTGTCCGTTGCGAGAGGCCAGGTGTAGTGGTGTGTGTTTCTTGGTGTTGCAGCTGAGCAGATTAGGATGGGCACTGAGCAGCAGTTTGACAACCTCCAGGCGGCCGTACAGTGCTGCCAGGTCCAGCGGAGTCTCAAACTTGTTATTCCTCATGGTGGGATCAGTGAGTTCCTCCAGCAGCAGCCGCACCACCCGAGAGTGGCCGTACTGGGCGGCACAGTGCAGCGGTGTCTCGTTGTCATTGTTCTGTTGGCGGCGGTGGTGGGGGGGGGATAAATAAGTAAGAAGCAGCTTGGGAAAAATGGCAGCACAGTTAAGTTGAGGTAAAGTGAAAATGTGTAATTAAGGAGATAAGAATAGAACGGAGATGCTTGAATCGTGTCTGCAATAAGTCAGAATTTGTGACTCGACTGAGTCATTGTGAGAGTAAACCAGTCAGATGGGTACAGGCAAATCATGAAAGGTCATGAAAAACCACCAACCCTGAAAAAAAAAAAAAAAAAAAAAAAAAAAAAAGCACACAGTGAGGCTTGATTGGGGTGAGGGGGCGGGGACTGGCAGGCATGCATGGACTAATGAGGACAGGTGTCTGTGTGGCACTGAGTGCCAGGGGCAGCAGGGTGCTAACAGAGGGGCAGGGATACATAGGCGGGTGGGGAATTAGCAGAGACATGGAGACATGGGCCGGTTTGACAAGAGGTCAGAATGCACCGACACTGAAGAGCTACAAAGGGTCAGGCATGTATAAAGCTTCTTTGTTGTTGCTTCTCACCAAAGCACAAAAAAGCAACAACCCACATTGCATAGTGAAAAGTAAAAATACACTCAAAGGATCACTGTGATATTAACAATAACATTTGGTCTGCCCTGCCGATCAGATTCTTTTTCTCCCCACAAGTCCAGGTCGGCTTGACAAAAACCCCAAAACAGGGTCCAGAAAACTCAACTATACTTCTATTGCACTTATAGAAAATATACATATAAGCAGCAAATCCTCAACAGAGAAGAAAATAAAACCCCAAAATTGCATTTTTTTTTTTGATGACTTTCCTTTTGATCAGCTGATCAATGTATCGACAAACTGTTCTGGTGCTAAAAAAAAAAAAAAGCAGTGATGATATTTTAATGTTGGAAGGACTCCTTAAGTTTAGCCAGTATTAGAATGATGTCCTTTATATCGACATGCACAAAAACACGACTGAGCTTGTACTGCAGGAAACATGCTAACAAATAAGTAGATAAAACACAGAAGAAACAGGAGTATTGACCAGATAAACTCAGTAACTAGTGCTAATTGATTCTAACCAGTCAAAAGCAGGAATGCAATCAATAGACATGAGAGCTTCCAGCATGTTATCTCTACCACGAGCAACCACCAGGGGGCAATCCCTGAAATCCTGCATGATCAAGTCAAAACACACAATGACAACATGCATATAGTAAATCAGAGCAGACCCTGCTGTGCTTTCTTTCACAATAGGGTGTTAGCAGAATTCCAATTTTGTGATTTTCTGCAAACATGGAAAGACAATTTATTTATCTGCAGCTCTGTGGCTCTCTTAAATATTAGATACAGATGGGGTGTGGTAGAAAATGCCAGCTATTGCAGAACTGCATATTCAGAGAGTCAGTCATTCCAGACTAACAGAGCCACCTACAAAAGGGCTGACAGCTGGCATGAGAAGTCCCCACATGGACATGCATGATGCCAGTTTGGGTGACTCCCAGAGGAAGACGCCAGCTGTGCCACCGAAGACAGGCCGTCACGCAGGGCAACAGGGCAGTTTTAGACGGGTGTGACTTGCCTATTTACTGCTTTCTCTAAAACCTGACGCCAGATGGGATCAGCAGGTATCTCCTTCTTTGTTGGGAGAGCGAGTATTGTACTACACTGGCAAAGCAGGTCACGGCTTGAGCAGGGAGAGAGAGTCGGTGGAGTCTAGAGGAACAAAACGACACCTGCCTATCAAGAGAAGGGACACAAATGCAGGCTAACAACAACAACAACAAAAAAAAAAAGCTTTTCTTGGATGAACTGAGCTGAACAAAACAAATGTAAAAGAGGCTTAAGAAAAAAACAAAACCTTTCTCTGGCAGCTAAATTAAACCGACCCCAGTTTTCTCTGCCTGGGTGGTTTCATCATTTTCAGTTTGTACAGTTGTGCGCTCGTCTTTGGCTCCAAACAAATGCACGTGTACCGACACAAGCACACTGACACAGAAACTGTCCGAACCCCGCTTGAAAAGAGCACGTTGTCTTTCATCTGTGACGCACCATCGAGCATTTGTCACAGCTTTTTAAACAGATTTACTCTCAGCATTTCGATGACTTCAGCGGGCACACACATACACACTCTGTGATTATATCAGCATGATTCACTTCCTCAAACATGCAGGTCTGCTGCCTCCATAGTAATCCAAGTAAATCTGGCATACAAGGACTTTTTTTATATTTTTTTGGCAATGTGGCTTTTCCTTCCTGGGAGAGGCAGAGGTGTGACATGCAACAAAGGTGCCTTAACTTTTAAGGAAGCCCCTTAGGTACAATTCTAAACTCAAACCATGCAAAAGCTGCCTGTAAAATCAGGCAAAGGAACCTTTTAGATAATACCGGAACACCCTTTTTACTCTTCTCTCATGATATTTAATAATAGTGCTGAAAAATGACTCGCACAGTGGACACATACCATGACTTCAGTGCTTATGAGCATGTTAACACCAAATGTCTCCCTTGCCAAAGTGGTGGTCAGGGCACTGTAGCAATGTGTCACCCAGCATCTGATCGCATTAAACATGGCTGACCAGCCGTCTGACTCACTGTTAGGAAACACACACAATAGGACAGTGACCCTTGGCTCCTTCAGTGGCAGCACTGGTGCATGTTATCCACACAGAGGCCTTCCACTAAAAAACATCCACTTACTCCCAAACACCTCGACCGCTTTGCTTTGTATTGCCGTTTTAGCTTATAACGGAAGCACTTATAGTTTATCCCACTAGTTGTATAGTAGGAGTACACAATTTATTTATATGGCTATTTTTAAGCATTTTATATCAGCAAAATGAGCCAGCCAATCGGGAATTGAACCTGTGTCTTGTTGCTCGCTGCATTTGCACAAATGCAATATGCACACAAATCTTACAGACTCCATTTCTCATTAACATTATGATTTATGTGGAGTGCATTTACAGGGCAGACACTGCAGGGTCTTGTGTAATATTTTGTTACATTGTTCAGCTGAACTCGTTTATTCATAGGCCGTCAGAGGAACACGCATATATACAAAGCATAACTAGAAAAAAAAAACTATTTGAAAGTCGGTCTACTTTGCTTTTGCATTCAAATCTGCATGTGAGACAAAAGAAATTGAAAGAGTGAAGACATGACAGTTTGAGAGCTGAAATATGGAGCCCAGTTTGAAACTAATTTCAGCAGACTGCTTGCCCTGTAGCAAACAAATCCCATTCAAAAATGCTATTGTACAGAGTTAATTTGCAATTTCTGATGAAACACTTTTATATTGTTATATAAGAAGGACTTTCAGCATTGAATTCAGCTTTATAAAGATTGGGATCAGCATTATCTCCTCTGCACTACCACAGGCCACATGAGCGGTCAGACAATCACGCACTAACAAGATAGATCTCAGAAGGCTATTACCCAAAATGACACCAAAGGCTTGCAGCCGCGCTGGGAAAGATTAGAATTCATAAAGCAAAGCTAAGACTTCCTGGGCAGTCTTCTGTCTTTACGGTGTGTGGAGCTGCATCCTGAGTTTGACCACAGAGCACGTCAAAGAAGAGATTACACTGCTGATTGACAAATCGTGGTTTAACCAAAAACATCTGGAGATTACACCCCATTGTGTTATCACGCTGCTGAATATTCTGAGACGAGGGAGAAAGACCCCAAGTGACAGAGAGAAGGGCAGGATGTTATGGTTCTCACAACCTGCAGCTGGGAGACGGTAACACGGTTTGACTAGCCACCGCAGTCACGTGACACGCTCACTGGCAGCAGGGCGAAGCAGAGGTTACGTCAGCCTGGCCTCTGGAAGTGGTAGTAGTAGTAGTGGTGGGTGATGGTGGTGGAGGGGTGGGCTGAGCAGCTGTTGCAGCTAGTGCGCCAAAGGGCTGCCCATCCTCAGTGCATGCCAGTGTCACCGATTGAATTCCTGCTAGCTTCTGTGCATTCAGACAGCTCACAGATCTCACACACGTGAACTAAAGCGTCGTTTTCTGGGTGCTTCTGATAAAATTATTTAAACAATATTTCTGCTGTTATACTGAAAAAAGAAGTTATTTTAAAAAATGAAGCAGTCATTTGCAGCTGGACTCAATTTTAATGTTTTTAGGTTTATTATGAGTTATGGAACAATTTAAATTAAGTATAATTGTAGCCAAGGATAATTAAAGAACACTGGTGACTTGTTTGGGAGTTTGAGGAAGAAGGAGAGTTTTGCTGAGAAATGCTGATTTCTGTTCTATATTTTGCTCAAATAAATAAATAAAACAGTTAATCACAAAAAAGTAGCCATTTGTTTCAGCTTTGGTATTTTTCTTTATTAGTCAAAAGCCCTTTGTTTTTGCATATAACACAGAGCACCAATAATATGAAGGCAGGCTACATTAATGGATTACAGGCTTTGGAGTCTTGTAATGAGATGGATGCCTAAATGGCTTCTAGCCATGGAATGTAATTCTTTGCACAGGGTGTTTTCTACCTTTTTCATTTTCGTATTGCACTTGTTAAAATACACCACCTTCCAAACACAGCTACATAATATTAAAAAAAAAAAAAAAAGAAAAAAAAAAAAGGGAAACTATCAAAATAAGACACCCCGGCTCTGTCCCCAATCCCTCCTCCTCAAATTTCTCAAAACTGACATGGGAGACACACCCTTACACTTATGGCAATGTTGAAAGCCTGATTGCTCTTTTTAAAATAAGGAATCAAAAAACATAGTTCCCTCGGGGGCATGTCAAGCATACTTCATGCACTTCTTAGCATGAATGAGTTGAGAACAGGTCTTGGAGGACAAGCCGAGAGCAGAAGGGAGTGCAAAGTGTTGACGAGGCATGAGCTGGACACTAGAGTGGCAGACGGAGGGGATAAATGAGCGTGCTGTCACACTGCGAACATTATGCCTAGAGGAAGGAAGGGAAACTCTGTTCGGCTTGATAATGAGGTGCCCAAGTCAGAAATATTGCATCTACTGCTTCCATCAGCAACTTCCACTGCGCACGAAGAGAGCAAGGCATAAGATCGGCTTCATTTCTGCATATAGTCTCACATGAGCTTGGCTTAAATCTGCACCAAACTAAAGCATTTCCATTTATCGTCATTAAATATTGTTCCATTCTTGGATACTTATTTTAGATGGCTCTGAAGTGGCTTGTGTGTGGGGACATGTAAAGCACATCTGAGGCTGGGTCAGAATTCACCAGCCTATTGTATATCGTATTAGACAAGTGACCTATATAAGAAAGCCTGGATGAGAGGTAGCATGACAAGTCTGGGCAAACTAAGATTTATAATGGTCAAATATGGTAATTTATTAAATGGGGGGGGAAAAGGAGGTCAGTGATAAAAATGATCTAATGAGCACCACATGCAGGGTTTCTGGAACACCTGAGTGAAGGTCCGTTACATAGAAATGAACCAGCTCTTGCCAAATCAGTGAACACAACGCTCATTAGCGGCATCGCTGTGGCATAGTGCATTAGTAGGTGCTACTTAGCAAACACACATCTACATGTTTTAGCCATCTATTACCCAGTAATGTAGGCTGCTCTTGTTGGTTATGCATCTTAGAATAAACAAGTGATAACAGACAAAAAGCAACTAACAGATCACACTCCACTGGAGGCACTGTTTGTACTTCAGATCAGTGCTCGTTGTGGTTACTGGGTTTTTTTTTTTCCAAGCTTCCTGGAAATACCAAGTAAGTGTTTGTAGCCTGTACATTGGCTGAATTCTCTCTGCTTAGCGGCACAAATAGACACAAATGCAGGACTATGAATCCAGCTTAAGCTGATGAGTACCAGATAAATCCTCTTTATATTTTGCAGTATACCTGTGTTTTGATTCTCATCTCTGTGGAGATAGTCCTACCAGCAGGGCTGCATTTTACATTCACCAGCAGTGATTGGTTTACCAGAACTGAAGAGGAAGCAACAGCTGTAACAGAGACGACTAAGCTTTGCACTGCAGGTTAAAATTTTCAACATATTTTAAAAGGCTGATTAATGATTAATGCTGAACATCCGGACTGGGTGTTGGATGAGATATGGTCATAACAATAAGGCCGACACTCCAACTATGACACGATCCTGCCTGTATCATGTGATACTCTGCATGGGAAACGTCGACCGATTCATTTTTCGGTAAGAGGAGATTATCATTATTATTTGCTTTCTTTCCGCTGTTTCATCATTTTCTTCTCACTAATTGCAAATTTGTTTTCCTTTATCATGAAATAAACACTTCTACAAGTACCCACCCAGGTTCCAGTTCTTGTAGATCAAATTAACATTTACAGTCACTGCATAGACTGCAAATATCATTCTTGGACATCTGTACATCAATGACACGTCACGTCTGCAAGTGTACAATATACTGGTGTATTACTATTTAACCACAAAGTTCCATGATTTACATGATTTCTTTTTCCCCCCAACCAGCTTTTAGCAGTTCAAAAGTACAAGACAAAACTAAAACTAATAAACATGTTTAAGAAAATAATCACGAAAACAATGATTAGGTTTTAGATTCAGTCTGAAAATAGCTACTTGTTAACTTTTTGTTGAACTCCAGAATCTTCAGCTAAATTTCAAGAACAGAATATACTCTACATCCCTAACCAAACTGGTGTGGGGGGCACATCCTGTGGCTAGTGGCCAATACTCCCCTGCTGAGGCTTTTGAAACATCATCAAAGTGGCCTTCCCACAGAGGTTAGTATCAGCAGGAGACAGAATGGTGGTATGATGAATAAACATTAGTTTGGCTAACTTCTTGGACCAGGATGACAGCAAACTGGACTCAATCCAGAATGATTTCTTGAGTGAGTTACTTCTGAAGCTGTAGTCCCTAAGACATTTTGTACAGCATCACTGCACACCTTACTCAACCACACCAGCTTACACAAAGCCAGCATCTCTCCACTGGGTCTCTCACTGCCACCGCAGGACCAATAAACCGTGACACTGTTACTATGACAATGTCTCACCTCTTCCCCTCTTCAGCAGAGCAAGCACAAACTGGGATGTGGGAGCAGGAGGACATACACCCATATTCTCTCCCCCCCCTCCACACACACACACACACACACACACACACACACACCTCTCCAATGTTGATTCAAAGAGACTTTTACATTGAAAACCTCCCATCTTTCCCATTCTCTTGCGACTGAGCACTCGATGTAGATTGTTATGAATCTGGATTCAGAGCACAGACCGTCTACTGAGTCACATGATGCCATCAACCATGACCACAACCAGGGTCGCACCACCCACACTGCATCCTGATTTCTGGTTTATTAATAACAAGGCATCAATTATTCAGTTTCATGACCAGGAGTGGAGCACAAACTATCTCAGAAGTGTTTACACTGAGACATTTTTGACATCTCAGTGGAACAAAAACACTCCATTTAGTATAATTTTGTTTTTAATCCTTGAATTAGAATAAACGGAAAAGCATTAGAACTAATGCACAGAATACATGCTCTGATGTACTGTATATCAGCACTAAAGAAAGCCAGCCTTCCCATCCAAATGCTAAGAAGATTAGTCCAGGGGAAACGTGACAATGTACTAAAATAGTGTGCAGCTTTATCTACTGGCCTGCCTGCAGAAAATCAAATCATGGAGCGACCAGCATGTTCACCCTGTACACTGCACTAACTGTGAGGATGACACTGCCAGCTGAGCACTCTGCACACACATAGAAAGGCTGTGACTGGGGCTTCTCTGGGTAGCTGAATGCTATAGGGTTGCGCCTGGTGGAATATAGCAGGTACTACAGCAAGTAGTTACTTCACATGAATCTCTGTTACCTATGATCTGTACATAAAAGACTGGTATGTGTCTATCCTTAGTGAAATGTATTAACAGCAGATTAAAATATACAGTAGTTTTGACATGTCAAGTGATTTGATTCAATCTTCCCAGGTGAATTCATTTCAGTAACAGTCAATTTATACATCAACACGGATGGATTATATTCATTCTTATATAGTCAATGTACTTTTTCCACATCTGTCATGTAAAAGCATTTAATTCAGCATGCTATAATGCTAATTCCTGCTGATTAGCATTACACACAAAATACTGCAGTTTGTTTTTCTGTTATCTGATCATAAAATGAAACAGAAAATGATTGCTTCACGGCGGCAATGGATTAAAAAACAAAAACGCAAACAAAAAACACACAGGGATCAAAGTTTCTGTTCCTCTTCAAGGAGATAAAAATCCCTGTAACCAGTGTTGCTATCTTCCATCTGTTAAGACATTTATCTCTGACAACAAAAATCTCAATCTCATGTTGGCCCCTTAGGAAAAAAAGTCATCGTACTTTATTGTCTGGGAACCATGAAAACCGGAATTTGTGCTAATCCATCGAAAGCCAGTGGAAGATTTCACAGAAGACCTTCTTTATCTCATACAACTTTCAGCCTTTGAAAGATTGGAGTAATACCGTAATGATTATAATAGCTTAATTGATGGTGGGGTGTGCGTATCCTTCCAGTATAATCCTCTACAGCTGACTCTGTGTTGCCAACAACTTTACGGTACTTAAATCAGGTTTTTCTTACCCACTGGAAAAAGACTCAAATGACCTACAGCGTCCCCTGGAAGACAGTCATTTACTAAACTTTCAAGGGCATTTTAATACAACACCTTATGTATTCACAATCATGATCAAGAGGCTAGTACAACAGAATCCCCCGTGGTAAACATAACATCTCAATATAACTGGAGAGCACAACATGTGGAGAAAGCATGAGAGCAGAGATTGACTGATAGCAGCGAAATTAAAAGCCTCCCCATATCTCTACAGCAGAGTGACCCCACAAGCAACGGCGACAAACACACCCAAGCACAGAAAGCCAACACAGCATTAAAGCAAAGAAGGCGGTTTAAAGGAAAAGTTTTGGCAGCACTGTGTACACACCTTGGCATTAATATAGGGGTCAAAGGGCCCACAGCGTTTGAACTCTTTATGGTCTACAGAGCTCTGGGAGGGAGGAACAGAAGATAGGTCGATGGTTTTGGTTCAGACAAGCAATGAACAAATGAGTGATGGTCACAAATGAGCCAAACTAAATAAAAAGGAGAAGAAAAACATTTAGATGTCATGAACAGGCAGGGAGAAATGACACACAATGAAACCAAGATATTTCTGAGTGACTTTGTGGTTACAGACGAATGCTTGTTTGACCGAATGTTTCTGACTAGGTTTGCAAAGCTCATTATGGGTCATTTCTCCTCATCTCAAATAGGATAGGCCAGGGATGGTTTCAGTCTGGAAGCTATCTGTGCAGTAAGCAACCAAATAAAATATCAAATGTAGGAGTTAAAACAGTTAAAATGGTTAGAGGAAACAAGCACTTTTCACTCTAGCAAGCTGTCAAAGCACTTCAAGTATCACATTATCAAAGGAGAAGTTGAGGCTCAAGATGCACTGGAGTTCATGTACTCTCATCAGTCTTTTTAACGTTCATCTTATTCAAATACATGCCATGCTGCACTAGACTTTTACTATCTCTATATGACTCTTATTGCAAAAAATGTCCACTTTAGTCTATTTAGAAAAGGATAAACGTCGTATAGTTGATGTTTAAACCATCGGAAAGGTCATCTTGACACTACCAGAGACCAAATGTGCTGAAAAGGAAAGAATCATTAGCGTAAAAGAGAGCTAGCAAGCTTCCATTAGGCCTTTATGGGTCTGCTGCAGACACACATATTGAAAAGTGATATCATTTCAATACGGTTTTCCCTTACATGTACTGCATGGGGAACGTACAAGCAAAACCAGAAGTGTAAGAGTGACCAACGTTGACACATGCACATTAACATAGATGACTAAGTGCATGGGCAGACCTGCTCGTTGAGTTTGGGGTGTGAAGGTCCTTGGTGAATGAGAAGCTTTACGATATGCTCGTCTCCCTTCCACGCAGCCAGATGGAGAGGATAGCAGCCCTTGTTGTCTGCGATGTTAGTCAGAGCCTCGTTTCTTAGCAGCACCTCCACCACCTCGCTGTAGACGAATAAAGAGATAGGTCAGAAAAAGCCAACAATAAAAACGACATTAATAAATACTCAGAGCCTTAGTAAACAGTCAATCAATAGATTCATCTTCCCCGTTGTACAATGGTCTGCCAGGCCAGACTGCATTAAATTTCAGAGCATAAACAGACGTATTCCCGAATTCCAAACGGTGATCGCTAATCTACCTGTGTCCATTAAGGGCTGCGTGGTGAAGAGGGGTGTATCCAGTGCTGTCCACGCAATTCACATTGGGGCCTCTCCAGATACTGAAAAGCAGAAAGGATTGTCAGTTTTCCATAACAGGCAATACACAACAGGAATACCATACCCTACACCAAACAAACATTGCCCATCCCTCTGTAAAGTCTATCCACGGGTGTGACTGTTGCTGTTCTGATTGCTATCTCACGGCTCCAGTCTCTCATGGCTACATCTACTTTAAGGTGGTGGCAAACCTTCATGTTCTCTCCTATTCTTTATAAAGATAGGAGATGTCAGGAATGAGGAAGCACTGGGCCAAAAGCCCCATCAAACTAGGAATACAGAAAAAGAGAAAAATAAATAAATAAAAAGTACTGCCAGCAGTAGGAAGCCACTGAGATGAGCTCATCTACAATAAGTCTGTGCAACCAAAGCCTGATTATTCTGGCTGAGGTCCTGATGTAGAATAGGCTTTTGTTATGTAATCTAACTAACAATAAACAAAGCTTTGGGATGGAGCCAAAAGGCACCGATGGGGTAAAGTGTAAGACAGAGAGCTAAACTACTGCTGGCCTTTCATTTATTTGAGCTGAACTCAGCTGTCAGCTTAGATTGGTTTGTTTCTTTTAATTTGCAAAGAGCACTGTGGGGAGGAGGGAGGAGAATGATGACAGGAGCGGCGGTAAAGACGGAGTAGTGGGAGTAAATTCAAGAGCTAAAAGAGAGATAGAGTGCCAGGACGGGATAGTGAGGCACTCTGAAAGACCTTAAAACATCCTAAATAAATCATGTGACTAGGAAATCCCAGCACTAGTGAACCAAATATGTGAGACCAGAGTCATCTGGCATACTGAAAGAGAATTGGAGCAAAACAGCTGGGCCTCACAGATCATAAATTTAAGAAGATTTGTTAAAAAAAAAAGAGATGAGAATTTTTCAAAATTTATTTGGTTTTTCAGATATTCTGGGAAAGATGTCTGAAATGCAAAATACTGCCTTGACAGCTGGATAGCTTCATAAATTATTACTGGTAGGAATTTTGATGCTAGCAAGCAAGTAACTTCTATGAATGAAGCCTGGAGAGAACGGGGCAAAAGAATAGCAGCAGCACAGTGCATCTCCAACTCTTTACAATGTAAAAACTAATTTAAACACACGGTCTGGGAGTCAAACACATTTAAAGATACACTGAAGATTGATCTGTAACATAATCGGTGTGTAGACAGCGTGGCAGTGGATGCTCACCCTTATATCAACGCCACTGACAGAGTGTGACTTTGCTCCACATTCACGGCTCGTTTTTGCCGCAGTAATGGCTGTTTTGCCCCCTTAAAATACATCTCCCATAATAGCTCTGAGAACCGCCTGCAATTACACAGTCAGAGCCGTCTCATTAAATAAGTGTCTTGGAAGGCTCTGTAGCCTGCAGAACAATGGACCTGACAGAGCATGGACGCGCAGAGACGCGCCACTCTACAACTCATAACAGCCTAAGCTGTTTATTTCTTGCAGCAGGTTTTCTGGGTGTCATCCCAACTAGTCAGGCAGCACGCGTGAAGTGGGATATCAAAAGCAGTGCCAGGAGGAAAGACTAGTGGGAACATGTGGCAAGAAATGTTAGGGACAGATAAAATTCTGTTAGAGAGTGGAAAATATGTGAGCTATGATTATGTCAACTTTTCAGGCACACACACACAAATTCACTTCCTGTCTTTTAAAAGTAACCAAATGTGCAGTAGAGAGAACAGCAACACTGTCCTTTGCTTGTCCACTGAACACATCAAAAGGGAGACTGAAACAGACCGCTAGTTGCTGTCCTAGATAAAGAGTTATATAACTGCTTAAAGCAGAAATCCCATATACAAATGAACATAAACATGAACGGAGCAGTGACTACAACTGGAGAATTAAACAAAATGTGCCACAGGGCAGAAAAAAAAAAAAAAAAAAAAGAAGTAGGAGAGATGCAAGATCATGCACCTTTGATTTTGGTGCAGCCATTGTCTTACACAAGTAAAGGCAACAGTTTACTGTGTACTTTTATGTATCCTGTAGTATATCCACATCCAGAATTTTGACAATCTTCCAGAAAGAAACATTGTGCAAGACAGAAGTCAGCTGTATCATAAGACATACTGCAAGATTTCCCTTTCACATTTTAAGTCATAACCTTTAAGTCTGTATTTTTAGGTTGTTTTTACATATTGGTCTTCCTCATCTGTCATGAATCTCTGTTGTGTTACTGCCACTAGAAAAAGAGGGGAAATCTAAAAATACCACACAGAAACAAACAGTGTTTCACATCATCCTCATGACCCCAAACATAAAAAAACAAAACAAAAACAAACAAACAGGAGCACGTATTATTCTACTGCTGCAATATTTCACTTTTAATCGGGATATAGCATTAATCCTATCAAAATCACCTCCACGCCGAGGGAATGAAGATGTCAGCTCATTACATTTTCTCACTGTCACAGTATTTCAGTTTGCTATTAACAGAGGTGCCTGCAGCAGCAGCTTTAAGCGCAGTACAAGTGTTACGTCCTCTGAGCATTTTGGCAGCGTGGTACTCAAGGGCATGAGTCAGAGTGGTGCTCGACAATCCACTTCATCCTCTTACTACGGCTCACAACCAACCTAACTGAGGGATGGGGCTTAGGCCCATAGCTGGGCAATGGTCAAAACGGAGCTGATTTGGTTTGGGAGGGGGCATATTCATGGGAACTGACTGAGGAATTCCTGTTTGAAAGGCTGAGCTAATCCTTAATTTGCCTGAGGGAATATCAGCAGGATGAGGCCTAAGTTTGAAAGAGATTCTGGAGGACTGTAATTCTGTTTTGTACAAAGCCTGGCTACGAAGAGATGAGGATGGATAAGAGCATTTTCCATCTTTTATTTTTACCGTCTTTACTTTATTGGTTTAACAATATTATATTAGTCATATATACTGAATATTTAGACTTAATAATAAACTTTTCTTTCCCTCAAGTCCAAAAGTCACTGATGCATTATTTATTTAGACCAATTTATCTCACTGAAGTATGGTTTTCAGTCTTGAAATTAAATCATGTTGAATACACGGTAAATAAATCAAGTCTGTATTGCAGTTTTATCCATATTCAATAAACCCAGTAATAGAAGCAAGTAAAATCCCATTTTAGTCCCACTGTTTACAATATTTCTTGCTTAAAATGTTTAAACAGCAGACAGTATACAAATTAAAACAGAGACTAGAGCATCAAACATCTCAAAATGTTCAAACAATATTAAAATCAAGGTATCTGAATATAGTTGTTTTAGCCACTGATAGATGGGCTGGGAAACCCTATGACTAAATTTGCTACCTAATGGTGGGTGTCGGGTACAAAGGCCGTATGGGTTGCTGACTCATCTAAAGCTAGTCAGCAATGAATAGCAGACTGATCACACCCCTTTCTCATTTCTTAGTTCTTCTGCATATTTGTCACACTTTATTATTTTATATAAACAAATTCTAATATTCAACAAAGAGAACCCAAGTAAATACAAAATTCAGCTTTTAAAATGGTAATTCCATATATTAAAAGGAAAAAAGCTATTCAACCCTACCTGGCCCTGTGTGGAAAACTATTTTGCTCCTCCTGGTTAAATCATGAATTAAGTGTGATCAACTACATTTTTTTGGAAAGCTGAGTTCAAGTTTATTAGCCACACCCAGACCTGATTACTGCCAGACCCATTAAAGGAGGAAGTCACTTAAATAGAGCCTGTGAAGTCAAGTAGACTAAAGGCAACACATCATGCCACGAGAAAAAGAAACTTGGGAACAAATGAGAAACAAAGTGACTGATATCAGTCTGGAAAAGGTTTGGGACTCCAAGGAAACACGTTGAGAGCCATTATGCACAAATGGAGAAAATATGAATACTGGTAAACCTTCCCAGGAGTGGTCAGCCTACCAAGAGTGCATCAACAACTCATCCAGGAAGTCAGAACAGAAGCTGGAATAAAATCTAAATCTAAAATCAGGCCATACTCGCCTCACTTAAGGTTAGAGGTCATGATTCAACAATAAGAAAGAGACACAAATGGCATCTAAGGTGAAATCAACTGCTGACCAAAAAAAACAAAAAAAATCCCCCCCAAAAAACCACAAAGGCTTGTATTACATTTGCCAAAACACATTTTGATGATGCCCGTGACTTTTGGGAAAATATTCTGTGGACTGATGAAAAAGTCTGACTCCTGTTACCTCAAGAAAAATACAGTATTTCATTAAGAGAACGTCATACCAACAGTCAAACGTGGAGGTGGTAGTGTGATGGTCTGGAACTGCTTTGCTGCTTCAGAATTGGGACAATTTGCTGTAATTGATGGAACCATGAATTCTGCTCTCTGCCAGAAAATCCAGAAGGAAAATGTCTGGCTGTAAGTTTGTGCAACAGTTGGTACAACAAGCAATACGTTTAGGGGGCAATTAGTTGACTATGAGGAAAAAGGAAGTTCCTTTAATGAATAAAAACTTAATTTATTGGGTTATCTTTGTCTAAGTATCAGAAATATGCAAAATCATGGCACTGCAGGTATAATAAAAACCTCAGCACTTTATCATTATTTGATCAACAGTCCCATAAGCTTACATCATCTTGGGCCAGTGAACTCATGTCATTTACAGTAAAGCTGCATTCGTTTGCACACATCTACATTAGCTAACATTACGTGTAGCTCGTTTATTATTAACAAACAGTGTGATGTAAATGACAGTTTTAGCACATTATTTCATCTGTGAACATGATTTCTGCCAGAGTCATGTCAGATACTCTAAGGATTTTTATTAGTTTGGAGTTAAACATAACAAACACGATAATCCAGCAAAATATAATCAAATATCTAATTTTTAAACTGAGAGTGCATCGGTGGTAAAAATGACATACAGTGCATGTAAATGTTTATTCATTGAGCCCCGGGAAAGAGCAAGGCAAAATGCAGTAGTAGGTTTAAGCAAATAAGAACCCAGGTGTGTGTGAACCCAGTGTCAAATAAACAGATTTGCCCTCCAGCCTATTAGCAGTGTAACCACACT